GTCTCAAAAATAAATAAATGTTAAAAAAATTTTTTTTTAAATAAACATTTATTTTTGAGAGAGAGAGAGAAAAAGGCAGAGCAAGAGCAGGGGAGGGGCAGAGAGAGAGGGAGACACAGAATCCAAAGCAGGCTCCAGGCTCCAAGCTGTCAGCAAAGAGCCTGACGTGGGGCTCGAACTCACGGACCACGAGATTATGACCTGAGCCAAAGTCGGATGCTTAACCGACCACCCAGGCACCCCACTGAGACTTGCTATTTTACATAGAGTTGTTAAGAATGGCCTCTCTGCTAAAGTAGCCTTGGAGCAGAAACATGGAGGAAGTGAGGAAACGAGCCAAGTGACTATGGGGGAGAAGAACTTTTCAGCCACAGGGAGCCGCAGGGACAAGGCAGGAGGTGGGAGGATGCTTGGAATACTTTGAAGAACAGCCTAGTGGCCCATGTGGCTAGAGGAGTGTAAGAGGGAGAAGAGCAGAAGATGGGTCAGGGAGATTGTCAGGGACCAGAACACATAGAGCCTCACAGTCCATGTAAGCCGTTTGCAACTTACGCTGAATGAGATGGGAACTATTGGTGGGTTTTGATCAGGTTCTGTTTTATAGGGATGACTCAGATTGCTGTGTGGAGAAGAACCGGTAGCCCTGGGGACCAGAGTGGAAGCAGGGAGCCGGTGAGAAGGTTGTTACAATAGTCCAGGTGAGAGATGACAGTGGCTTGTCCTAGTAGTGGTAGTGGAGGCGGTGAGAAGTGGTCAGCTTCTGGATGCATTTTAAGACTAGAACTCGCAGGCTGGCTTATGGGTTGGATGTGGGGGATGAAGAAGAGGAGCCAAGAATGACCTCAAGTTTTTGTTCTGAGCAGCTGCATGGATGGAGTCAAATGAGATGGGGAAGAAGAAATGAGAGGGGCAGGTTGGGAAGGAATCAAGAGTATGATGAAATGGGGTGCCTGGGTGGCTCAGTCCATTAAGCCTCGGACTCTTGATTTCAGCTCGGGTCATGATCTCATGGGACATGAGATTGAGCCCCGAGTCAGAGCCTGCTTGGATTTCTCTCTCTCTCTCTCTCTCTCTCTCTCTCTCTCTTTCTCTCTCTGGCCCTCCCCCGTCGCGCGCCCCTCTCTCAAAATAAAGAACCATGAAGAAAAAAAAAAAAAAAAGAGCATGATGAATGAGCCTTAGTGAACAAAAACCAACAAATGAATCACTGAACACCTTCCTTCTCTGAGGCAAGGCCTGTCCCATTGACAGCACTTTAAGAGCCTGGGGGCCGGAGCTGGAACGCCCCCCATCAAAAAAGCGGATGTGGATTCCTTTAAGAGAGTTGCTCTACCACGCGAAGCCCCGCCCAACTATGGTCACGAGACCCTCGGTCTTGCACTTCAGGGCGGGCCTCCCTCATTTTGAAAGATCCGCGCGCACTTCCAGAGCTGCGGTTCACCCGCCGACTGGGATGTCGGTGTTGCGGCCGCTGGACAAGCAGCCTGGCCTGAACACGGCCACCATCTTGGTAGGCGTCAGCTGCTCCGCTTCCCCTGACCGCCTTTCCTCTTTGGCGGGGCCTCCACCGTCTGTCTGGCCCTCTGGCCTCTCTGAGGTTCTGATGCGCGCTTTTCGGGCTGGGGTGTGGTGGGCGGGAGGGCCGCATTCTGAACCAATCGGAGTAGCCGCCCTCTGAGTCTGAAGGACGCCCCCACCAATAGATGCGCGGAGGGCTCTTTTCCGGTTTCTGATTGGTGGGGCGGCTGGGCGGGCTGGGACCCGGGAAGCTGTGTTCAGCGCTGGACAGGTAATGGTTTTCCCAGCGTCTCTTGGGTCCGGCCATCCGAGGCAGAGTCTGGGGCAGTTAAGAAGTGCTGTGCAGACAGTACTGGAGCGGGTGCATTCTGGGCCCTCAACTGGGGCCTGGCGGAGCCCTCTCTCGGTAAACGGCGTCGTGCGCGTGGGAGCGGGAATCCTGGGAGTCGAGCGGTCTTGGGTCTGTGGCCTGATCCCCAGGCCCTCCAGCGGGACTGCTGTGCCCAGGCATCAGTAGGCCGCCTTCTCTCCCTGACAGCTGGTGGGCACGGAAGATGCTCTTTTGCAGCAGCTGGCCGATTCGATGCTCAAGGAGGACTGCGCCTCGGAGCTGAGGGTGTAAGTAGCTGAGGCTGGGGGTGGGGGGGGGGGGTCCCATCGCTCTGCCGTGGCTGAACTGCAGCCTGCTCTGGTAGGCGGGCAGAGGAGCTGCCAGAGAGGAGGGCGCAGGTGGGGCCAGCCCCTCAAGGCGTGATCTGCCTCCAGCTAAGATACCCTCCATCACTCTCTCACACATGTGTTCTGTGTTCCTCTAGCACTTGTCATCATAAGAAATGTCCTTGTTCCCCTGTTTATTTGTTTCCAGCCTGCCACCCCCGTGGACCCAAGGTCAGCTCCTTGAGGTCAGGGGCTTTGATTTTTGTTCACTAGTGAATCCCCAGTGCTTTGAGCAGCACTTGGCACAGAGTAGTGTTCAGTTACCCCCCTAATTTGGAGAAAAGATGACTAAGCAATTAGGTTTTGTTTTTCTTTTTCTAACTGATGGAGAGTAGAAACAGCTGCTGGTGGGAAGCAAGGGACTGAATGTATGTGGGTGTCATTGCCCTTCATAGATAAGCTGCAAGGGTCCATATGGAAGGAGCATGACCCCACTCTAAAGGGTGCTCCTCCGTGGGAACTTGAAACACCCCTTACTAGGAGAATAAACCCCGTTACAGCACTTTAAAGAATCTCCAATGAGGGAACAAGTTCAGGCGAGAGTGATGAAGGTGACTTACCCAAGGTCACATAGCTGGTAATTGGCAGACCTGAGATTTGAGCCGACTTCTATTGCCCTCCAAGGGGGTTCAGTCTTAACCCCTAGTCTTCACAATCTAACAGCCCTCTTCTGGGTCTCATCTCCCTTCCAGCACACAGTGTAGCTGGCTCACCCCATGCCATCTTATAGCCCCAAATGCCTCTTGCCAAGGCAGTTCCCAACTTTGAGGCAGAAGGAGTCAGACAGAAGTCATCTAGAAAGGACCGGCTCTGCTGTGCCCCTATGCTCGCCTGAGGAGTCTTGCCCACAAAAGCATCAGGGGCATAGGGGAGGAGCCCTTGACACCGTCTTACCCTAGGAAGGTCAGTATGTGAATGGTCACTGTGATGTGGGTACATATATCTTTAGTCTTGCAATTTTTTTTAAACGTTTGTTAATTTTTGAGAGACAGAGAGAAAGCACGAGTGGGGGAGGATCAGAGAGAGAGGGAGACACAGAACCTGAGGCAGGCTCCGGGCTCTGAGCTGTCAGCACAGAGCCCAACGCGGGGCTCAAACTCACGGACCGTGAGATCATGACCTGAGCCCAAGTCAGACGCTTAACTGGCTGAGCCACCCAGGTGCCCCTAGTCTTGCAATTTCTTGTTTTTCAGCCACCTGGCAAGGTCCCTCCCTCTGCCCTCCAGTGTGGATCGGCCCCGAATTGACTTGATCGTGTTTGTGGTCAACCTTCATAGCAAATACAGGTGAGAACCAGAGAATGGGTACCTTCAGGGCTCAGGTAGACCTGGGATGGTGACCTCACCTATGCGGGAAGGAGAAGACACAGGGAGAGGCTGCCTGGGGTTAGCCCAGAGGATGAGGATGGGGAGCCAGTGGCAAGTGTATGATATTTTAAAGACACTGATAGGGGCACCTGGGTGGCTCAGTCGGTTAAGCGTCCGACTCTTGATTTCAGCTCAGGTCATGATCTCGTGGTTCGTGAGTTCAAGCCCTGTATCGGCCTCTGTGCTGACGTCATGGAGCCTGCTTGAGATTCTCTCTCCCTCCCTCTCTGTCTCTCTCAAAAATAAATTTTAAAAATAAACATTAAAAAAAAAAAAAAAAGACTGGTAAACCCCAACAGTGCCATCAGTCATTGAGCTAATGTTTTCTGTAGCCTTCTCTGTATCCCTGATGGCAGGCACAGACATGAATGAAATAGACCCCTGTCCCCAAGGTGTTCCCAGCCCACCGGGGGAGGAAGCTAGACTCTTGAACACAGAGCTGTAGTAGCTAGCATAGGTACTATAAAAGAAGGATGCATTGGGCTATGAGAGCCCCAACAGGACCTGTGACTCTCAGGACATAGGGCAGGGTAGACTTTCTGCTGGAGATGACCAGGTTGAGGTACCGAGGTAAAACTGGGAGTGAGCAGAGGGTTCCAGGTGAAGGGTTAATGTAAAAGGTAATAGGAGCATAATGTGTGCACAGGACTGTTAAGTCTGGTCCAGGGTCAGGAGCCCGATGTAGTAGCCAGGGAAGCATGAGCGGGTGGTGATGCTTGGGGCCCAGCCTGGCCTCCCTGTGGTGCTGGCAACCTGGGGACAAGACTGCAGCCAACCTGGGGAGTACAGAAGAAGGTTTGCTCTCTCCCTTTGGGGGCGATGGCTGACTGAGGGGAGGCAGGACGCAGCAGCCAGCACAGAAACCAAGGCACATGCCTCATCATGTGGTGTGTGTTAAGTGAAGGCTGTAGTGGAAACACCTGGAGCCAGGGACAGATCGATACCAGCTACAGCCAGCAGCAGGATCAAGTCCAGACCCGCTGCCTGGCCAGCTGGAACAGACGAGCAGTGACTTGGGCCCACAGTGGGGCAGAGAAAGGGCTGAGATCTGCCATGATTGCCAGAGGTCCTGACTCGGCAGATCTGTTCTTTGGGTGAGACCCATCTGTCCACCGAACTGACTGGGTCTTTGGGGAGATCCTGCTCTGTAGTCACACTTAGGGGCCGAGAGCCATCCTTACTGTTTGCCTTAGACCTTGCTTGTTCAGGCTGAAACCTTGGCCTGGGTCACCTGACTAAGATGGCTTTTTGACCAGGAGATGACAGATTTCTTTATCATTCCTCGGACACCGGTGAATGAAACCCTTGGCCCAGAAGGTTAAAGGGCCCTTTTCCTGGAGGAAAAGAGTGTTTTCACATACTCGATGTACTAACCTTATTGGAAAGCAATATGGCAATACCTAGGTACATTTATTTACATATTTATTTGCCTACCTATTTATTAAGTTTATTTATTTTGAGAGAGAGCACGAGCAGGGGAGGGGCAGAGAGAGAGGGAGAGAGAGAGAATCCCAAGCAGGCTCCACACTGTCAGCACAGAGTCCGATGTGAAGCTCGAACCCATAAACCGTGAGATCATGACCTGAGCTGAAACCAAGAGTCGGACACTCGGCTGACTGAGGCACCTGGCGCCCACCTAGGTACATTTTAAAAAGACACATAGCTGTGACACAGCCATTCTACATCTAGCATCGGTCCCACAGAAACTTTTGTCTGCATGTGTGAGAATATATATAAAGGAAAAATTCATATGCAAGAGGAATTACGCCCCAAACTGTCAGCAGCAGTTACCTCGGGGATGTTGAGACAGAAGGGTGGTGCCGGAGAGGAGACTTCCTTTTTACAGAATACCTCCATATTCACTATCGGATTGTTGTACAGGCTTGAGTCATTTTGTAATTAAAAATACTCCAACAAAATGAAAGATGAAGTATTCCTCTAGGGGTGTTTCCTCTTACCCTCCTCTCCTTCTTTGGCCTCTCTGGGTTGAGGAACGCAGCCCTCCACCTTCTCTGTGGTAAGGTTTGTCCTGTGGTTCGTTTTCTCGCGCCAGCCTCCGGAACGTGGAGGAATCCCTGCACCATGTGGACGCCACCTTCTTCCTGGGGAAGGCAGCCTTCCTTGCCACCGGCGGTAAGTGCATCCTCCCCCACCCCCCACCGCGGGCGCTGTGTGGCCGGCACTGCGGTGGGGGACTTCTTACTGAGGCCACCCAAGGGACCAAAGAACGTGAGCTTTGGAATCTGACCTGTTGGCGGTGTCTCTGAAAGTGAATCTGAGCAGATCGTTCTGCTGAGATAATTGCTAAGAGTTGCCTGGCGGTTCCCTGTGGCTTGCAGAGTAAAAGCCACGGTCGGTCCTGTAAAGGCACAACTTTGGCCTTCCACCTTCCTGTCTAGTCTCGTCTCCTGTTCCCGTCCCCTTCTTTGGTTCAGCTTCTCCTTCTCTGAGCAAGGCCTGCCGTTCCTGAGAGCCTTTTTGTAACACTAACAGCGGAAATAGCAACAACTGACCTTTATTGAGCCCTCACTGCACACCAGACACTGTTCTAAAAGTGCTTCGTTTCTGGATCACTTAATCTCCGCTACAAACAACCCTCTGAGGTACATACTGTTATCTTGGTTTTAGAGCTGAGGAAACTGGAGCCTTGAGGTGAACCAGCTTGTCCAAGGCCCACAACTAAAAAGTGGTAGAGCCCATATTCATACCTAGATGGTCCTATTCCAGAGCCCATGCCCTTCGTGATTCTATCATATAGCTTCTCCTGGATGCTTTTTTCTTCTTTGTGTAGCTAACCCCTATTTCCTGTCCCCTCGGAGACACCTCCCTGACCAGCCCTGCAGTCTGGGCCCCGAGGTGTCCATCCCACGCATGCTTCTGTCGTATAGACTCCCCACCCTTCCACCTACACCGATAGCGTGTCTGAGCTGCCCTCCTCCACCCAGCTGAACTGCCAAGTCCTTGGGGGGAGGGCCTGGCACAGATTATGCTCAATGAGCATTGATGAATAAATGAAAGCCGGGTCATTTCTATATATTAATTCACCGAATCTCTATAGTAACTCGGTGGAGTGGGGGCTGTTACCATCCTCCTCTTCTAGATGAGGAAACTCAGGTTTTTATAGAGCACTCTCTCAAAGCCCTTTCAGCTTTATTTTCTAACTTAATGGTCTTGGCTGCCCCGAAAAGAAGGTTGAACAGGACTGTCCCCTCACTGACTAGTAAGCAGCTGAGGCCCAGATAGAGGTAGTGAATGACTTCGCCCAGTGCTTCCTGGATGACTGCCACGAAGGTAGAGATTACAGCCTGTAGCACTCACGGCTTCTTTGCAGCTGGGCGAGAGAGTCACTGCAGTGTCCACCGAAACACAATCATGAAGCTGGCCCACACCTACCGAAGTCCTCTGTTCTTCTGTGACCTGGAGGTAAGGACAATAATCGAGGGGGTGCAGGGAAAGGGCAGTCAGCATAGTAGGTGTGTCGAGAGTGCTCTTGGAGAGTCAAGTGCCGAGTGAGGAGGTCCTGATGTGGAGACACAAGATCCTAATTTGGATCTTGGCTTCTCTGCTCACTGGCTGGACCTTGGGTAGGTCTGTCACCCTAAGCGTTGGGGCGCACAGATGTAAAGTAGGGTGACAGTATGCATTCAGCCTGAGTGCCTCTTTCATGCCAAGTGCCATCACTTGTTGCCTTCTCTTCTTTTGCTTCGTTTTCTCCCATAACTAAGTTTTATGTATGTCATGTGGGTCCTTGTTAATATCTCACTCTCCCGCTGGGCTGTAAGGGCGTGAGGCCAGGCGTCTTGTCTATTTCATTAACCAGTGCCCCCTCATGTCCGTCCACAGTCAGAATGCCCCTGTTCCCCTTACTCCCTTGGACCCCAGACCTTGTCTAGTCCCAGCCTGGGGCAGGACATTCAGCAGGGAAGGCGGGTGGGTGGGTGAGTAGAGGGTGGGAGGGACACATAGGGTGTCTGTTCTGTCCCAACTCACTTCTGTTGGTGTTTCTCATAGGGTGAGTCTATAATTATAAGCGTCTCAGAGCAGATTTCTATTTTGCTGATATACTTCGCTCTCCAGCCTCGCTTTCTGGAACATGAATCCTGACGTTTTGCTAAAAGTGCTCAGCAGCTGTCCCCTCTGGGAGGCTTGCTGAGGGCTCCCGGGACCTGGGCCACCCCACCCGCGTCGCAGGCCTGCTTGGTTTTAGAGTGTGTTTATTGGTTTTGAAGTTCATTTCTGCTGTGTTCTTGGTCCTGCACCTATCCCCAAAGGTAAAGTGATATAATGCAGAGAGAACTGAGTCAGCACACTGTCCCTTACCACCACCCAGACCAGGGATTCTTATTCATGGGTCTGTGGACCCCGCTGGCCTGAGGGTAGAATTCAGGGGATCGGTGAACTTGTATGAGAGAAAAAAAAATACTTTTTTTTCCCATTAAACTCTAAGTGAAATTTGGCGGTGTGAATACAGGCAAGAGATGTCAGTCTTAGCAGTATTTGCCTGGGGCTGTTACCAGCAGAAAGGGCAGATATTTCCATCTCATAAGAGGATGGGGCAGATCTCCTTGTTCAATGCACCCATAAAGATGCGCATACCCCTTGGTCACAAATTCGTTTTTCATGCTTGACGACTATTTTAGTCAGCACTCTGACCTCACAGGACGCTGAGGCCTGGGGCACACGCGAAGTGCCCGCCCTTCCAGACTTTCCCCACAACATACCCCAGAAACCCAAGACTTGGAGAGGAGAGGCAACTCGCTCAGTCATACAGCTAGTAAGTTAAACGGTAGAGCCAGCAGGTTTGCACGCTGCTGTCTCTTTTCCTTCTTAGGCTGCTAACTGTGGCTTTGAAAGTCACTTCCCCCACGCAGCCTTCGTCTTCCTGTCTCTAAAGGGGAATCATCATCTTTGCCCCACAGCTCAGGTACCTTAAACCTTAGGCGGTTCTGGCTGAGAGGCCCCCCAGCCTGGCGCCGTGTGGTGTAGTTCTCTTTGTGGTCAGTAGGTGGCAGGCCGTACCAGGTATGAGGAGCCTGACCGCTCTCAAGGAAAAGGCCTGCGTCCGCCCGTCTAGTTCCAGCCGTAGCAGCTGGCCTGCTGGCAACGCAAACCTGGCATTCCCTCACATGAAGCGCCCGGTGGTTGGACAGCCCTCACTCCTCATACCTGTGCTGTCCTTTTTATTTATTTATTTATTTGTATTTAGTTAATTTTTTTGAGAGAGAGAAGGGGTGGGTACAAGTGAGCGAGGGGTAGAGAGAGAGGGAGGGAGAGAGAGAGAATCCCACGAGGGGCAGAGAGAGAGAAACGGGGCTCACCCGAAGTAGGGCTCGAGCTCACCCGCGGGGAGTGGGAGAGGTTCGAACTCATGAACCGTGAGATCATGACCTGAGCCCAAATCCGATGCTTAACTGACTGAGCCACCCAGGCGCCCCCTGTGGTGTCCTTTTTAGGGCACAGCCCTCCACATATCTGAGTTTGAGCTTCGCCATGTTTGAAGGTCTTGGCACGGTAGGAATTATCAGCCCCCTTTTACATGTGAAGAAACACATTCACGGAGCTGTGGGATTGGCCCAGTGAATTTATCTCCTAGCTCTGCTCTCCTAGCTCTGCCAGTGGGGCCCCGCGCTGCTCCCTGAGCGCACGAATGAGTCAGGCATGGAGCCTGCCGTCTCAGAACCCGGTGAGGCAGAGACTTCCACCCCCGGCGGCTAGACCCAGCAGTCATGGTGTAGACGTGAAGGACGTGCAGAGACCTGGTGGCCTGGCATGGGAAGAAGCCGTTCCTTCCTGTAGGTGACAGGAGCCATCTGATGTAGTCAGGCTTGGGTTTGGGGGCTGCACCTCTGGAGTGTCGTGTGTGGATTGGAGGAGGCTTGGCCAGAGCTGAGGCTTGGGGTCGAGGCTGCTGCAGGAGGCCAGCCGGGGAGCCTGAGTGAGAGCGGCAGCAGCAGCTGGGAGGCCTCTTTCTGAGACGAAGGCCACGGAAGTCAGAGTAAGGATTTAGTCAACAGATATTTTTAGGTACTTACAGTGTGCCAAGCACTGTTCTGGGCCCAAGGGATGCATAGAGCAAAACAGTAAAAAAGGGGGAAAAAAAAATCTCAGCTCTGTCGTAGCAGAGGAAACATGTAAAGAAGTAAAATGCGTGGGGCACCTGGGTGGCTCAGTCATTTAAGCATCCGACTCTTGGTTTCGGCTCAGGTCATGATCTCACGGTTCATGAGTTTGAGCCCCACGTCGGACTCTGCACTGAGCACGGAGACTGTTTGGGATTTTCTCTCTCCCTCTCTCTCTGCTCCTCCCCCAGTCATGCTGTCTCTGTCTCTCTCAAATAAATAAACTTTAAAAAAAGGACAAAAAAAAAAAAAAAAGTAAAACGCGTTAGAAAATGAGGATGTGACGGTCAAGAGGCGGTAAAGCAGTAAGGTTTAGTGTCAGTGGCCGGGGGTGACTGTTAAAGAGATCTGTGGAGGCGGTAGGGAGGCAAGCCGTGGAGACTCCTGGTGGAGGAGCACATGGGGCCAGAGGAGTGTGGAGACTTGCCTGGTGGGTCCAGGGTCCCCCAGGGAGGGCTCCCTGGAGATGCGTCAGAGTGACAGCGGGGCCAGAGCCAGAGGGCCTCATGGGTCTTAGTAAAGGCAGTGGCTTTCACTCTGAGTAAAACTGGAGCCACAGGGAGGGGTGTGGGGGCAGGGAGGGGTGTGGCCCGACATGGGTTTTACTTATTTTTATTTTCCACTTACGTGATGTGGGTTTAAATGGATCCCCTAGATGTGGCACAGAGGAGGGGGCAGCCCGTGAGGCCAGAGGAGAGGAGAGGCCAGGGGAGTGTGGGGTCCCGGGGGCAGGTAGAAAAGCATCCCAGGGACGGGGCGCGGCTGCGGCAGGGTCTGCTGAGAGGACACTCGGGGAGAAGGACAGCTGCCTCTGGATTTGGAAAGAGGAGTCGCAAGTGACAAAGGCGGAAGCAAGAGCAGGAGGGCCGAGGGTGCCCAGTCCCTAGTTTGGGCGACTGGTTGGACGCTCATGCCCCCTTCCCCGGTCAAAGCAGGAGCAGAGGGAGGACGAGCTGGTCCTGCGGCGCCAGCCCCGTTTGGCGGGGGAGGGCGGCTCAGCATCGTTCTTCCTTCACCAGGCACTGATTCCCTGGTGCCAGGCCCTGGAACAGAGTCACCCACCCTACGTGACCCCACCCCACAGCGCCTCTGGGCCCCTGCCTTCAAAAGCAGGGACTCTTTGTTGATGGCACCTCCCTGTCCCCCTGAGGGCCACTGCCTGTCGGCCCCCCTTTTCCATCCCTCAGCTCCCAGGTGAGGAGCCTTCGGGGCCTCTGCCTCCCGGGCACTGTCTGGAACTAGCCCGGATCCAGATCCCTGTTCTGCGGCCACTAGACAGTTTACCCAACTTTGCCAACCTTGCCTGCTAAGCCCCGTATCTCCGCTTCCAGCCCCTTCTGGCGGGCCGTGCGGCAGGACCGGTTGCCCCCGACCCGCCTCCCCCATCCTCTCTTCTCCCCCTGCAGATAGAAGGCTTTCGGGCCACCATGGCACAGCGCCTGGTACGCATGCTGCAGATCTGCGCTGGCCACGTGCCCGGTGTCTCAGCCCTGAACCTGCTGTCCCTGCTGAGGAGCTCTGAGACCCTGGCCCCAGAGGACCTGTAAGGACTGCTGGCCCCCGAGCCGCCGCTCCCCCCGCCCGGTGACTGGTAGACTTCCGCTGTCGCTGAAGACGGGGTCGGGGCCTGGCGGGCCCTGGCTCGGCGGTCAGGTGCCCGCACGACCCGACTCGTCCCAACTCGTCCGCGCTCCAGCGGGGAGCCCAGCTGGCGGGCCTGCAGCGCCTTCCCTCCCGCAGAGCCCGGGTCTTCACCCACCTGCCCGGATACATCGCCACTTCAGGCTCCATTTGAACAAAGCGTCCACGGCTCAAAACGATTCAGAAAACCGCTGGCCTCCTCCATCACCTTGATTTTGCAGATGAGGACACGGGCTCGGAACAGTGAGGAGGGCCGGGCAGAGGGGGCATTGCACTCTGTGACCCAATCCGACCCACATCCTGGCCTTGCCGTTCTTCAGGAACCTGGTGTTGCCGTTTGGAGCCTCAGTTTCCCCGGGTGCGGAGTGGAGGTCGTCCTGCTGACCTTGTTGCGTTGTGAGGACTGAGTGAAGTGACCGAGGGGACAAGACTGTGGTTGTATTTCTCCCTCCACTTGTTGTGTGCTCTAGGTATTTCATAATCCGTTGTATCAAGGTGCCAGCCAATTGCTCAGGGAACAGTAACCATTGTTTGAAATCACACAGAACTGGGTTCAAAAGCTGGTGCAAAGCCAGGAATTAAACCGTTTGTGAACTCCTAAGTTGCGGAGAATTATGGGCTGGCTCCCCGCTCGGCAGTGAGAGGTTGTGCCTTGACCGTGGCTCCTCTTCTCCTTTGGGTCTAGTTAGAATTTGCCAAAGTGCCAGGGTCGGAATCCAGAAATGCTGTCAGCCAGGTCGGGGCTCCTGCCGCTCCTCGGTGGCCAGCTGGGCACACAGGAGTTTGGGGGCAAACGGGGGTTGGTGGATGAGACCTCAGGAGGAGAGCCAGGTCTGGGCTCCCTTGGACCATGCCGGCTCCCCCCACCCCTACCCTGCTTGTCTGTGCTGGGGCCTCCTCATGCCCCAGCCTGGCACCCCGGGCAGGGCCGGCACTGCCACAGCCCCAGCCCCAGCCCGTGCTCTTTGCGAGATTGGGCCAACTTGAAACTCATGGCGGGCGTCGTGAGGACACGGCCTGCCCTTCTTTCCATGGGCTTCTGCCAGAGCTTGACCCAGCACCGCACCCCTAGTGCTCAGTAGGTTTTGGCGGCCAAACACCGGGCTGATTTGAGGCCATCCTGTGGGCCCCCCTGAGAACGTCAGCCCTGCAGATTCGGGTCAGGGTCCCCAGCGTCCCCAACACAGCAGGGCACCACACGCTCCAGTCTCCTCGCGCCACTGCTCCTGTGACCCCCAGCAGATCTGTGAGGTGGACCATGTTTCCCTACTTCAGCTGACAAAGCACTGCTGTCACCAGAGGCGTGTCCTTGTCACAGAGCCATTCGGGCAGCCGACCTCCGGCCCCACCTTCTTTTTCCTTCCAGTTGTTTTCTTACGTGCCTAATGGTTGAACAAAGGTTTGGGCACTTCTGGGCAGGCCCGGACTGGCAACACAGAAGTGGACGCACAGGCCTCATGCCCGAGAAAGCAGCTATCGGGAAGGGCAGGCTCTTAAGGAGCCACTCGCTTGGGGCGGGGTCCGCACCTCAGGACAGGACAGGACAGGTGCCAAGGTGGCCATTAGCACAGGGGCAGACCTGCTGGAGGAGGGGGCGGGGAGCAGGGCAGGAGCGCTGCCCGTGCCAGGACAGTCACGGCTTCAAGCACGGGGCTCACAACACGCCCGCAGCCCGCTCGAGGGGCTCCTCAGCGTCAGGGAAGGCAGGCCAGCTTCTGTGCTGAGATGGACGCATCCAGGGTTGAAGGAAGAGGCCAAGGTGAGAGGTAAAAATGGTTGTTGATCTCAGAGGAGATGGGCAGGATCGGCAGAGGTCCAGGGAAAGCCAGCCTTCTTGGTACCCTGGGCCATAAAGGGTGGGGTTTTGCAGGGCAGTGTGGGGAGCAGGTGGAGGGCGGGCAGGTCTTTGGGAGCTAATGGAGCATGTATCCAAGCAGGGGAGGAAGGCAGTGTGGATACAGCCTGCCTGCCTCTGTTGAGCATGTCCCTTATCGGAGACAGGGGGAAGTCCTCCCATAACCCTTAGCCTCCCCCCAGCCAGCATGGGGCACATTCTCTCTCTCTCTCTCTCTCTCTCTCTCTCTCTCTCTGAGTCTCTGTGCCGTGTTTTCTTTGCCACCTGGTGCCATTTAACAAGAGAAGTGGCATCACACTCCAGCCAAGGACCTGAGAGCTTTCCAAGTGCCGGGGGAACACGATGCTGTCAACTGCTGCCAGCTCTAGCGGGCTTGGCAGGGGCCCAGGAACCAGAGGCCGCCTCTGCCCCACAGCAGAGCTGAGCAATCAGTTCCCAACCAGCAGTTAGCAGCCCTCCCAGGCCTGCTGCCCCCGGCCAGGGAGTGTGGCTGCTCGGCCCTGTCTGGAGGCCAGGGATACGGCCTGGGAGGCAGTCCTATGAAGGGAAGTGATGGAAAACCAGTCTTTACGCCCCAGTGGTGCCTGGAATTGGTGCTTGGTGCCGTGTGGGATCACCACGGTGGAGGGAGACAGGAGAGGCTGCCCTTGGCTTCTTATGATCTCGTGACCTTGGGCAGGTCACTTACCCTCCGAGAGCCTCAGGTTCCTTATCTGTAGAATGAGATCAGGCTAATTAACACCTCTCTCCCCAGCCGGTGTCAGGACTGAGCATGAGAAACCGTTATTTTAAACACAAGACTTTAAGCAAACGTCAGAACTCTCAGGCTGGCCTTGGTCTCAAGGTGGGCATGTTGGAGGCAGTTACAGGGGGTGGGCTAGCGGTCTGAATGGGTGGGCGGCCTGAGGCTCCTGGAGGAGAGGCCTTCGTGCCGGACCTCGAGCTGCCGCATCCATGCTGAGTTTGCGGAGGGAAGAGGGGGGTTCGGGCCCCTGCTGTATAGATGAGGTATCTGAGGCTCTCAGAGGGGCGGGGCCTGTTCGGGGTCCCAGGTTCTTTGTTCCTGGGGCCCACCCCAGGGAGCTCACACCCTCCGTAGGAGATGGCCCAGGCCTGTGTGTTCTGGCCCTGATCTGATGGTGTTTCCCACCCCTGCCGAGGAGGGGGCTCTGCAACGTGGCACCTGAGCCTCCTTCACCCCTCAGTGAGCAAACGCAGGGGCGGCCCGGGGCTGGGCTCAGACAGGGGACCCTGGTCACAGAGGGGAAGTGATGCAGTGGGAAAGGACCCAGCCTCCGAGTCTCACTGACGGGGTCTGTGGCCAACCTGCAGTGTGACCTGGGGCAGATCACTTCCTGTCTTCCCGTCCCCACGGCCTCTTGAGGTTCTTGTTAAGTCTCAGCTGCACCTGCCCCGTGTGTGCCCTCCCCAGGTTGGTTGTGCCCAGGGGTGTGGGCGGCAAGGGGAGCCCTGGGGAGTTCTTGAGATAAAGGCCTGCCACAGCCTGCCCCTCCCCCCACGTACCTGGTGCTGGGCCAGGCCTACCTGACAGGCCCCCGGGCAGAAATGTACCCTTTGCCCGAGGTACCTGCTGGCTTAACCTCCTTCCCTCAGCCTCCCCTGGGGCCATAAGGATGCAGGCAGAGAATCAGTGTGGAAAGACTTCTCGTAGATACCTGGAGACTCAAGGGGCAGAGGCGTGGAGGGTGGGGACAACGTGATGGGTTGTCAGGCCCTGCCCAAATCTGAGTCCCACCTGAGTTTGACCCTGTGGACTGAGGGCTGCTGAGGACCAGCTCTGGAAGGGAGAGAGGGTGGGTTGTCCCAGTGCCCCTGACCTGGACGGAAGGCAGCCTTCCTTGGAGGCCACACTCTTACATCAGAAGAAATGCCAAAGGCATTTGGGGATCCCCGGGAGCTAACATTTGGCAGATGCCCGGTCTGGCGATATAATGGCCCTGCAGAGCCAGGCCCAGAGGGCTCCCAGAACCTGATCATCCTCTGCCGTGTTCAGCCACAGGCTCCTCAAGGGCTGGACCTGACCTCCTCCCACCTGCTGACCAGGAGAGGACCCCACAGATGTGTGTGCCGTGGTAGGTGGTGAGAGCTCAGGACCAGGGGGCTGCGTGGCTCGCCCCTGATCCTTCTGACCCTGCTTTCCTCTTTGTAAAGTGATATTCACGATGCCACCTCCCCTACGGGGTTGAGGCAAGCACTGTGGATTCATGCAGGGCACAGGGCCAGGCAGGTGACTAGTCGGTACTGGCCACTGCCGTTTTCCTGGTTGCTGTGCCGTTCCCTGGGCCTCGTCTGCTCCTCCCTAGACATCCTGGGGGAGTCACTCTCCCCTCCATCCCTGTGTTCCGAGGTCTCAGCAAGCCTTCCCGGCCCCCCACCCCAGGCCCTCCCTGCCACCCTTCCCTCCTGAAATTGTCTCCCCAGCACTTCCCAGCCCCTTACCTACTGTACGGTTTCACCATTTAGGTTTTGTCCCGGTTGTCTCCCCAGAACATAGAACAGTGCCTGGTACATAGTGAATCTCAGTAAATATTTGGTGAACGAATGGAGGTGTCTGCTCACGGAGTCGGCCTGTGCATCATTCATACGGGACCAAAAACCTGAAGGAGGTCCAGAGCCAGCGGCCCTTGTCCCCGCCTGGTGCCTTGAATGAGGCCTGAGGGAAGGCAGCCGCTGGGGAGGCTCCCTGCTCTCTCACCTCCCCACCCCTGCCTTACAGCAGCCTTCCGCCTTCCACCTGCTGGCCTGGAGCCCAGAGATGAGGACTCTACTCCCTGTGGCTGTGATGCTAATGAGCTGGGGTCTCCGTTCTGACCTCACTTTGAGGGCCGTGTCCTCTCTCTCCGGGCCATGCTGAGAACGGGCTGCCCTGGCCAGCAACCCCGAGGAGCGTTAGCCTGCGCGTGTGTGCATGCACGTGTGCATGTATGGAGGTGGGGATGAGGGCTGGAGGACAGGCAGCTTGGGCCTGTGAAAATCTGGGCAAGGATTTTGTAACTGCTTCATGGAAGGGCGTAGCTGCCCTTGCACAGCTTGGAGTCAGGGGGAGAAGGGCCGGGGACTCTCCAGCCCCACAAGGACTTCATATCCATCCCCTGCCTCTCCCACCCCTTGTCCTAGTGTCCAGAGGCCCAAAGCCACATTCTTCCCGCTGTCCCCAGCGAGAGGGACTTTCTGGCAGTGTCCTGTTTGTCAGAGCTAAACACACGAGAAAGGCAAAGGGAGTCTCTACCCTGGGGACCCTGGCCGATCCTGCTCCTGCGACGAAATCGAAGGGGAGAGCCCACAGGGCCCAGGAGGGCAGGGAAGCCAATAGAACAGCTCACACTTCGGACCCCTGTAGGAATCACAATACCTGCTCTTCCGCAGGAACTTACGTGAGAATTTAAAGGCGCAAGGCAGGATAGGAGGAAAAAGTCCACAGGCTCCCTCTGGGGACAGCAGGGAAAGGCCCCTTCTTACTCACAGACTTCTGTATGGTTTGAGGGTTTTTTCATGAGAACGTGTTCAGGTATTACAGAATTACAACAAAAGCAACTTTTACGTCAGGAGCGCACGCATCCTGGGTCTCCGCGTACTTTCACAATTAGATCTAGGGGGCCAGGCGTCTCTGTCGCCCAGGGACCGCCCCAGCTTGACACTGAGCTGGTCCAACTGGCAGTTTCCTCATTTCTCCCACCCTGTCCCCGAGGCACGAAGGGCACCGGCCACGCTTCGCAGCCGGGTGGGCACAGACCCTGTCCAGACTCCCCGTTCGCACTGGGTCATCCCTTTGCCCTCGAGAGTCCCTGTTCCCCATCTGGAAAACGGACATTATAATACTGCCTGTGTCAGAGCCATTGGGAGGGTGTTTCGGGGGGAATTTGAGGGACAAAGATCGTTGGAGACTCCTTTTCCCCTGACCCCAAATTAACTATTTTTTTAAACAATTCATCAGTGAACGAAAACGTGAGAACACTAAGAGACATTCGATTAGGTAGGCTTTTTTCAGCTACAAAGTCCCTTATTTTCTATTCAGTACGTATGAGGTGATGATATCAAATTATTTAAAGTAAAAACCATCAGGGCACCTGGCTGGCTCAGTCAGTGGAGCATGTGACGCTTGATCTCGGGGTTGTGAGTTCAAGCCCCACGTTGGGTGCAGAGATTATTAAATAAGTAAATAAAAATAAATAAAAATCTTGGGGCACCTGGGTGGCTCAGTCGGCTAAGTGCCCAGCTCGGCTCTTGATTTTGGCTCAGATCGTGATCTCATGGTTTGTGAGATTGTGCCCCACATTGGGCTCTGCACTGGCAGCACAGGAGCCTGCTTGGGATTCTCTCTCTGTCTCTCTCTCTCTCTCTCTCTCTCTCTGCCCCCTCCCTGCTTGTGCTCTGTCTCTTTCTCTCTCAAAATAAGTAAACATGAAAAATATTTTAAATAAAAATCTTAAGTGAGTAAAAATGATCAAAAGTACAAAAATTTGCAAAAACCACATTGATTTGTGAAACTAACTCCTCTCTCGGACACGTCTCCGTCAAGAAGTGACGTAGAAGACTTGAATAAAGAAATTCCTAATCTTGACTGAAGAGCTGTGTAAACCAAAATAAGGACTACGTTGAGGATTTAACCTAATATTTACCACATTGGTCTGTTGGGGAAATTTCTCTTAACTGCAGAGTCGAGATTCAAGGCCTCCCGCCCCCTCCCCTTTCAGGAGCCACTAGTGAAGAGGTTTGTCCAGGGCCAGGCACCTGCCCATGCCACTGACCTGGATCACACACGCTTCTCGCTGTTACCCCTTTGTCCTGGGCACGTGCTCCGGGCACACAGGAGGCCCCGAGCGAACGGTCACTGTCCTCCTCTGGCTTGGGCCCCTGAAGACCACCTCCCGTGCTTTCTACTGGAGCCGGTGCAGCCACAGTGAGACAGACAGAGGCCCACATGGCCCGTGCAGAAGTGGCTCACGGAAGTGGCCCCAGACTGGCCCCACCGGCCCACCCTCTCCTAGGGACGGGGTCCTCATGCCAGGTTCCCACAAGACTCCGTCCGCTCGGCCCGAAGGCGTGAGGTTTAAAGGAGGCGTCCGGGTCCAATGTAAGGGCTCTGCGGTCCTGAGAGCGAAAGGTAGTAACGGCACCACTGTGATGAGGGTGGGGATTCCGCCCCCACCTCCCTGCCCCCGCTCCCCTCCAGGCCCCTGGCTCCCCCACCCCCTCACCGCACACCCACACTCGCACCCACACCCACCATCCCAGACCCACTTCTCCTTTGCAGCTGCCCTGCCGCCTACACCTTCCTGCCATGGAGTTGCTCGCCTGTGGGCAGGGGACGGAGAGGCAGTGGGCCAGGGCTCCTGGGGGTCAGCCGACTCAGGGGTCCGTGAGTCCTCAGGGTCTCCTGAGCCAGAAACCTGGGGACCAGCCTTTCTCGCCTCACTCCACAGCATCACTCTTTGCTCCTAAACAACTTCTATAGTTTTACTGTTTTTAAAATTTGTTTAAAGTTTAATTTATTTTGAGAAGAGAGAGAGCACAGGGGAGGGGCACAGAGAGAGGGAGAGAATCCCAAACAGGCTCCGTGGGGCTTAATCTCCTGAACCCGTGAGATCATGACCTGAGCCGAAATCAAGAGGTGGATGCTCGACCGACTGAGCCAACCAGACTCCCAGCTCCTAAACAGCTTCCAGATGGTTCCCCTCCCTGGTCCATGATGTCCTGTCTCCAACTCTGCAGCAGCCAGAGAGAAGGCCCCTTCTAAAGCAGAGTTCAGAGAAGCTCTCCTTTCACTCCAGCACCTCCTGGGGCTCCTCACTGCCCAGGAGCCTGAGGTCTGAGGCCTGGCCCATCTGCCCCCCCCCCCCCGCCCCGGTCCTTCTGCAGCATCCCCTGAGGCAGCGGCCATGCTGTCCCCTCTCACCTCTCTCTGCCTTTGCCCTTGCCAGTCTCTGCCTGGAAGCTTTCCCTACACCCTTGCAGCTGCTAAAGATCTACTCCTGCCCCCAAGCCCTTGCCCTGTCCCCTGGACAGTAATTCCTGCCTCTGTGCCCCCCCACCCCAGACCTGAGTGCTTAGGGGTCTCGTATGGCCCACCACATCCGTGCTGAGGCTCTCTGCCAGCCCCTGCCCGCAGGGAAGGGGCAGCAGGTGTCAAGGAAGGCAGAGGGGGCCTGTGCGTATGTCTGACGCTCAATCTGAGAGAGACGTGGATGACAGACAGGTGGGGGAACCCCAACACTGGAGAATAGAGACAGACAGAGGGGACCTCCGTGAGACACAGTGGCAAGCAGGCCAGGATACACACAGCCCTGGGGAAAGGAGTTGGGATGGGCAGGCTGCCCACGGGGTCTTGGTCTGTCTGTTCATCTGTCCGTCTGAGTCTCTCTCCTGCCTAGGATCTGGAGACGGAGCTGTCTGTCCTCGAACCCTCGGCTACCCTCCCCCTATCCTGACTGTGCTCTCTACTCCAGCCAGAGGGTCCCCACTATCACGCAGATCTGACTATGACACTCTCTGCTTAAAGTCCTGCACGGTTGGTTCCCCAGTGCCCTCAGCCAAAGCTCCTTAGCCCTCAGTTGAGGGCCCAGCCTTCTAATCCAGAACTCCCTGGGCCCGTCAATTGTTATGCTCCCCTAGACCCCCCTCCATCTGGCGAACACCTCCTCCTCATCACCTCCTCTACAAAGCCTCCCTCTCTCTCCATGTCTGCTGCTGCGAGGCACTGTCTTTCCCTAACATTCGAAGAACTGAACCCGCTCTGCCCTGGAAGAGCAGGAAATTCCCCCAGAAGAGGAGGCAGGTGAGGTGGGGGGGACATGGGGGTTGGGGATTGTCTGGGGCTGTGGGCTGGCCTTGGGGAGAAGGACAGGGGAGGCCACCCAGAGGTCTGTGTCCTGACTACAGGGGCCCATCCTTTGCTGTCCGAGAGAAGGCCCCCATCTGAGCCCAGCGCGGTCCCAGCGCCCAGCAGAGGGTGGCCCGCCCAGCATCTGGGGGTGATGGTTGAGTGGTTGAATGGAGGAACCACAGGTAGAAGAGAAGGTGTGGGGTGCAGGGCCTCGGGGGCCCTGGCGGAGAGTGGTCCCACCCCAGCAGGCGGGAGGGCGGGGCACAGTGGGTGGGCCCCTCCCGGTTTCCTCCTCTGGCTGCTGAAGCCAGACTCAGTCCCGGCTGTGTGCGAGGCAGCATGGGCAGCCAGAGGAGAGGTGCCAGGAGCCTGCGGGGCAGGGAGGGGGCAGCCCCCACCAAGTGTGTGGTGGACACGTGCTTTGACCCTCTGGTCCGAAAGTGCGTGGACTGCAGGCTCCTCCGGACGCCAGAACCCGGACCGGGTAAGAGTCGACCCGCTCTGCCAGCTGGTCAGCGGGGCAGCCCTGGGGAGGGGGAGGAGGTTCCTGCTACCGCTGTCCCACCGCTGCCAGAGCCCCAGGGACGGCCCCCATCTGCCCCAGGATGGGTGGGGAGGGGGCGACTGGGTCGATGGGGGGCCCTAAGCAGAGACCTGGATGGGGACCAGCGGTCACCACGTGGCCCTCACCGCCCCCTCTCTTTCCCTTCCCCTGTCCA